AATATCAAAAGCTATTAAAATATCAAAAGCTATTAAAATATCAAAAGCTATTAAAATATCAAAAGCTATTAAAATATCAAAAGCTATTAAAATAGCTGAGCACTAAAAGCTATAGAATTACAATATATCAAAATACTACTGCTTTGCACTATTACAAAAATTCAAAATGCAAATCCTGTAGGAAAAATCTATCAAGATTTACGCCAATCGTTACTTCTACTGAATACATTATTCAACTTTTTCCCGAGGAGGATGTTAGGTTGACATATCACATCAGTATTGTTAGTATTTTTTATACATGCATCGCCAGGATTAAGAATCTTGGTGACCAACATCTCTACATCTACTTGCTGGTATCTTATATGTTATTTCTACAGCTGCTAGTTATTGCTCTAATATCTAATGGCAGTCCTCGGTCTGTAAAGAGATCAAAAGTTCAAATACTGAAATTATGTAATGCATTATTTTCTAAGTGAACAGCCCACTGAACCAAATAAAAGTAAAAATGTGAAGATCAAAGAATCACTGGAATCATCAGCGTTATAGTTGATTGGAGAATAAAGCTGAAAATTTCCGAACGCCTTCAGAGCCTCCGATTGGAAGGAACTAAGCACTGGGTACGAGTTGCACTAAAAAAAATATAGTTACGCTAACTTCAGAGAGTTGAAAAAACGAAGCATTGAGCACGAGTTGCACTAATAAAATATTCACGCTAACTTCAGAGCGTTATTGACAATACTTTTTCTGAAACATGTTTCATTTGTCTACAATATGAAAACAGTTCTGCCAATGTAACAATATTTTGATTTTGACTATTTCTGGGGACTTGTTTTTTATTCTTTTATGAATGTCTTTGAATTTCCGTGGATTTCCCTTCACTTTAGATCATGAAACGCCGAGCAGTTCATAACAAGTTGCGCATTGAAAACTGTAGCCGGTTCAGTTCAATAAAAGATTATTTACTGGAATTATTGACCGCTGAAAATAATGTAAATCCAGCTTTTTTTCTTACCCGTATCTTAGATGTTTTCTTCATTTTCTTCAGGAACTTTCTCATTACCCTCGTCTCTTTCCTGTACTTGGTTAAACAGCAGCAGTTGTATAATGTCGTACACCATTCTAAACAACTCGTGCAAGGCTCTCAGTAGGTTCATCAGTGGTACAATAACAGCTTCGTTTGGATCACTCATCGTGTCCAGTGCTGCAATGTAGTGCTTGAATACTGTACGTACGTTGAAAATCTTGAAATGAGAAAATCCCAAAGTCTACTGTGTTTTCCCCCCAGACTATTAAATACCGCATATAAGTGGTCCTCTAATTGGTTTATATCAGCTATGTGTTTTTTCCCTAGCCTTGGACAACTAACAAAGTAGTTTCCCTCCAAGTTCATCGAATAATATAATCCATTCATACTTTGACCAGGTCTTTTATACAGGTGGGCGTCTCTACCAAAACAATGGATCTATGTACTGATATCCGATTCGTTATCCAGTACCGAGTAGGGTGAATCAATGCTATTCTGGGAAAGTCCCGAAGACCGCTTCGCTTAAAGTGGCGTTAACCTGGCGCTTAAACTACCTACTGAGGGTAGGTGGGTCCACTAACAACGACAATAATAAAAAAAACCTTAGAGGGAGGGGAGGCACCAAGGAGGGTGTTATAACAACATGTAAACCTTGAGAGAAAACCATGGAAGAATTTTCGACCAATTTGTACGATGATGAAAGCGGAAGTGGACCCACCTACCCTCAGTCCGCCTAATCTTCACCTCCCCCTGTTTACAGGATATTTTTCCAAAGTTCGTTTTCAGAGTACAAAATCAAAATTTCGAAAAGTCATTTCAAATATTTATTTTAATTTTTAATTTTTGAATTCGAAAATTGAAAATTGACATTGGTGAGATAATATTCGAATTTTGACATGATCATAAAAAATGAAAATTCAAAAATCAGGCAAATTTCATATGTCCAATTCACGGCAACTAAATTGAAAAGCTCTTTGTGGAGTGTTACACGGACCAATTAGACTACTAGTCATCTTCGCGGAGCACGAAGACAACTAATAATATAATGATCACTTGTCAAGATAATTTGCTCTGTTGCATTTTTATACGCGGCTCCTAAAGTTATAACGCTGCTTTTTGGGCTGAATCCGAGCCCAAAGCGACGATAACTTTGAAAATAAGCAAAACATCAAAAATTGGATTGGTTTTAGCTTTTAGTAAAAGCTAATATTATTTTAGAAAAAAATTCCTGTGCTATATATATAAATAAATATAAATAGACACATTCAAGAAGTAGATAGTGTGAGCCGATCAAAAGAAATTAGGTTTTTGCCACATTAATGATAATAGTAAATTAGGTTAATTTTTTATCGAAATTGGGCTGAGGTGTAGCTTATAATCCTATACTGGTGAGTATTGAGAATATGAAATCATCAGCAAAATGGCCGCCATTTGATAAGAACATAGATATTTGTAAAAGGAAAGCGACATTTCACTTTAGTTTAACTGAGAGCTTCCAATCCATGCCAAAAAAAAAACAATACTCACAACACCAAACAAAAAATTACCGGCAAGTTAGAAATTTGATCATAGTAATATTTTAAATTTGTAACACACATTTCAAATGCTAACTAGTTATTTGGTTATTTTTTAGTCGTCTTTGAGAAATGGGGACTACCAATTAATTTTTTCAGTAAAATATGACATTTTTGACAGCTTTCCAAGTTTACGTTGATTGCGCGTTGTTACAGTAAAAAGGGTGAACTTCCACGTGTTCTGACGGCTAAACAAAGTCGGAGACTCCGATCTTTAATTTGCTTATTTACTTTTAGTATGATGTTCTTTCATCATGCAAATTTTTTTAAAAATCTGATGATGGGATCCTTATTTCGTCACACATTGGCAGCCGGAACAACACCCAGGGTCTTAAAATAACTGAAAAGAAATTGCTGCCTAGTCTCCTCTGCAGGCGTCTCTTTGCTCTCTTCCCTCTCTCTTTTCCTATACTGGGCTTCCTGTGTTGGCTGAGAGTTGACCGACATCGTTTTCACCACAGGATACCCACCCCTCTCGAACAGCAACAAAAACCAAACCAACAAAAACCTTAGCGAGTAGCCTGCGGAGGAGGCTAAGTGCTGCGTTTGTAATTATGTAATTACATCTACAAATGGTTAGGCTTTCAGTTGGCTCGGCGATATCCACTTTAAATGGCGTTTTGTTTGGATGAGGGGTTACTAAGCCATAAGTTATGTCCTACTAGTAGCGAAAAGTGCCGGCTCCGAAAACCCAAACATTGGATTTACCTTTTATAGACCTATCCCGAATTCGTTTGACTGACCACGAAACAATGGTTTGAAGTCGAGACTGGACTTGATTCTTTTATTCATCAAGTTCAACCTCGACTTGAAACCATTGTTTCGTAATCAGTCATGCGAATTCGGGATAGGTCTATTCAAAACTTATTTGCATTTATATATTTGACCCACTAGTTGGATTTGTCTAAAACAATGATTTCTCTCGCTCTAATGGCCTATGAGTCAATATTAGTCAATAACCAATCCGCGTGCCTTCTGCCTCATGAGCTTTTGACTCATACCCCATTAGGGCTCAAGGGCATAAAAAGACGGGCAAAAGACAAACGGTTTTTGAAACCCGTCCGAATATTAAACTGACTCTTTTTGACTCGTTTTTGACCTTACCTAACCTTAGCTACTTTACATTATCACTGAAAAAATGTTGAGGCCCTGTGATTAAATTGAAGTCAGTGTCATCAGAAGCGCGAAGCACACGAAAAGTACTACAATCTTCTGGTACTCTGATTTCGCTGCAGCGCCTGATATTGAAAAAAAAGGTAAGAAAAGGTAAAAAAAAGCTATGTAAGTAGACGATATTTAACTCGTTTATCCAATGGAAATTATGCTGAGTGAAACAGGTTTAGTCTCTGAAAAGCAGCCCGCTCCCTAGAGTCGAACTGAGCTGTTCTTTTGATTAAGGTCTGCTGAAAAAAGAAATGTATAATTTGATTTCTATTATTAGAAGAAGAGAGCGTACTTACTGTTGGGTTTTGCGGTGACCATCGTTGGTCCTGTAAAAAAGATTACAAGTTTGTTACTCATATTTGTTTCTGGTTATAACACTTATTTATCGGTACAGAAAGCAACACGACACGACACAGTCTGTTATTATAAGTAGATAGCATACTTACTGTTGGTTTTTGCAGTGACCATCGGTGATTTTGGTGTGTTTACCGTCACTTGCCCTGATAATAAGATATTAAGTTAGTAAGTCAACTTAGCCTCTCATTATAAGCAGCATAGCATAGCATATCATGGCATGGCATGGTATGGCCTCTCATTATAAGCAGCATAGCATAGCATAGCATGGCATGGCATGGCATGGCATGGCATGGCATGGCATAGCCATACTTACTAGGCAATACTTTGAGCTCTTGTATTACAGGATCCTCATTTTCGTGCTTTCCTTCAAGACAAACAGCAGTGTAGTAGATCTTTTCGTCATTCAAGGATATGTCTTGCAAAACCGTGGCCGATTTTCCTTGCTCTAGGTTTTCTTTTGTTGGGAACTTCAGACGAGAAAGGAAAGGTTTGCACATAGCGTCTTTGTCATACGGCTTATACAGCAATTGTGTATCGTGTATAGCTATGACACCGCATGGATTCCAATTGCTACTATTCAACCAAACACCGAATTCAAGACGACGTATACTCTCGCTTGCGTTGTTGAGCTCACTGAATGCAGCGTTGTCGCCTTCGGTATAAGTAAGTAACCTTGGAACCGCGTAGTCTGCAAAAATAGATAAAAGAAATCCAAATTTTGAATAACTAGGGCAGGTACACAACATATAAAGACACAGCACCATAGTTAATAGATTAACTATGACAGCACAAATTCAAACTGAAATCCAACCTACAAGAGATAACATCAAAGGAAAATGAAAGCCCACCAGAATAGTCGAAAAGAACAAAGGAAAAGCCTAAAAAGATAACTTGCAAGTAGAACTACAAACAAGATTTAAATATAAACCTCTGCATGGCCAATATAAAAGACAAATGAGTAAATCAGATGT